CTGGAGAAACAGATCAGGAAGGAGGAAAGTTGAGTTTGGCAGGGGAGCTCGAGCGATGGCTGGTCAGGAAGCCAGCCGTCTGTTGTCTCAGACCCCAGTGCCCTGGCCTCCGGCCGCAGGCTTCTGCCGGCTGTACAATGCCACGTTGATACGCCCAGCAGCTGTGACTCAGGCCTGGCCCCTGGCCAGCCCCAGAGCCTGTGCTGGGGTTGCGTCTGAACATGTCCACAGGCCTATCCATCCCCTGCCTGGCTCCCCCTTTCCCCTACTCCAGCCCTCCCTCTGCCTGGAATTAAGACCTGGCATTGTCTGGGGGCAGGACAGCTGGGAGCCTGGTGGCCCTGGAAGGGGATCTGAGGAGCTCCAGAACCCAGACATGGTGGTGGGATCTGCCCAAGAGAGGCCTGTGGTAGCCATGCCTGCTGTGGGTGTGGGCCTGTACTAGTGGGGGGCTGTGCTGGTTATCGTCCCAGGGGCTTTCTGGTTGTAAGACTTCTGAGCTTCACAGGGTGGGGCTTGGAGAAGGCCCAAGTACCTGAAGGCCGGGAACACCTGCCTTCTCTTCTCTTCAAGAGCTCCTTCCGAGACCAGTGTCCTTGAACACCAGAGTGGGGCGGGGCTCCCACATCCTAACTGAAAGTGAGGCGACCCACAAACCAGCCAAGCCACCAGGTGGTGGTTCCTGTGGCTTGGGGGTGGCTTTGCACAGCCATGGGGGTGTGGGGGTGTGGTCTCAGCGCCTTCACTAGGCCCCTGTCGCTGGCTGGGGTGTCTCCCAGCAGGCGGCTGCCTTTCTCCCTGAGTCTGTGCTGTTTCCTGCCACCACCGCCACGTGCATCATGCGGTCTGTGTTGTTGACCATGCTGGCTGGTTTCAGTGTCCCAGCCTGCCTTCTCCAGACCTTGGTTTCCCCATCTGTCTAAGATCCCTCTAGGAACCTGGGAACCGATGGGGACATTCAGAAAAGCCCTGAGAAGCAACTTAAAATGGGAGCGGGTCAAGCAGCAGGTAAAGCAACAGCTGACCGCTTGGAAGGGTGGGTGGAGCTGCCCCGACAAGGCGGGGCTGTTGGGGCTGGCGGAGATGGGCTGGATTTGGACGGAGGGAAGGAGGCAGGCAGTGAGGCTTCGGACACAGGAAGAAGCGGCTGGGCACCGTGTGGCTTGTGGTGCCGTTAGAGGCCCCGTCTCCAGCGGGACCTGGGCCTGAGGAGAGGTCCAGATGCTTGGAGGATGGCGAAAGCTGCCCCCTCTCCCAGAGCAGGGCCCTCTTCCCTCACCCGACCCCTCACGCCCAGCCACAGGGGGCGCCCTTTCCTGTGAGGAAGGATATACCCAGGCACCCAGAGTCCTTTCTTGCCTCCATGCGCCCCCTTCAGGGGTCTTCGCCCAGCGATGGGGAACGCTCAGGGCTGGTGAGGCTGAGGGGGGAGGGTGGTCTGTAAGGGGACAGGGTGGACCTGAGGGAGCCCGTGTTTTATTTTTAGCCCCGGGCGACTTCTCTGCCCCTCGCGTCTTCCTAGCCCGAGGGAGGAAATGGGGGCCTGTCTCTGGGGCCTACCAAGTTGCTCCCAGCAACCAGGCCCAAACAGCCCTGCGGTTGGCTCTGGCTTCCATATCTGGCGTCAGAGCTGAGCGAGGAGGGTGACTCAGTGGGCGGGTCCACGCCTGGCCTGGTGCCCACCAGCCCCTTGGCTGCACTGGGCGCTTTCCCACCCCCAAGCCCCCCAGAGCTGGCCTGCTCGGCCCTGGAGCCAGACTCCCCCGACCTGCCAGGTTAACTAACAGGCCCCAGCCTTAGGAGCAGTGCAGCGCCCATTTCCACCTTGCCCTCCCCTCCCCTCCCCCACCCCACTCCCTTCCCTCCTTCTGAAATCAGATTTGCCAGCTGTGGGAAGAGTCAGAAACAGGATGCCCAGCCCTTCTTGCCTCATGAGGCCACTGGGATGGAGCCACTCCTGTGCCTGAGGAACCTGGTGGACATGAGGGCGGGAGGCCTGCCCCTGGCCAGGCGCAGGGCCGGGCTGGACAGGGAGAAGGCAGGGTCTCCCCTGTGAGCACTAGAGGATTTCCCCGACCCCTGCCCAGGCATTGTCTGCCTGGGGATGAGTCACCTGCGAAGCTCCTGGCTCCCACCCTTCCCTGCTCTTGCTGCTCCGCCTGGTCCTCCCTGCCAGCCCATGTGCATGTCCGTCAGTGTGCCCAGCCACCCACCACCCACCAAGACGCAGCAGCTCCGCCCTGGCCAGTGACTGTGGGGGTCCCTGCTAGGTCTGAAGAGCCTGCCGAGGGAGGAGGCAGCATTTGGGGCTGGTGGGGTGGCTAGAGGCGATGCGTGTGGCTCCTGAGGTCTGAGTCACGAGTCCATGGGTGATGGTGGCTCCTTCCCACGGATAGGAGATCCCCTGCATGACTGAGGAAACCGCAGAAGCCCTTCCTCACTTCCCTCTCTTCGCTAGAGGTTTTCCTTCCTCATCTTCAGGGTGTGTCTTTGTCCTTCTTTCAAGTGCTAATCAAAGCCTCCCAAAGGGAAAGGAAAATAGTCCCGTTTCCTCAGACCCTTGGCAGGTGCTGATGCTGTGCAGCACCAGCACTGCTGCCTCGCTGAGGAGCCTCGGACACAGCTCTGTGTCCCGGTTTCCCTAGTCACTTCGCAGAGCACCTCTCTTGTGGGGTGATGGTGAAGGCCGAGTTCACCGTAATGTTTAAAACTGCCTGGTACCTAATGCAGCGCGTAAGTGCCGTCTTACTGTTGTTTTATTATTACCACCATAGGGAGCAGTGGGAAGGGAGGAGGTTAGACTGAAGGACAAACTACTGCTGTTTGTCAGGCTGCTGCTCCCAGAGCCCTGGGACCACACACCTCTGTTGTCCTCAGCTCCCATCCGCCTGGCACTGGATTTTGCACTGGGTTTTGCTGGAGCTCGCTGCTGGGCCTGCTGCTGGGCCTGAGGAGGCCTGGGAGGCAGGGGTGGGGTCTGGGGATGACTTCCCAGGCATGGGCCCCTTCCTGCTTCTCCCAGCCCTCACCCTGTCTCTGGACCTGTGGCTGGGAAGGCAGTGGGGGGGAGGGGGCACAGTGCAGTTCTGCTAGGTGGCCGGACTGGCCAGGGGCCCTGTCCCTCTGCTGCTGGCAGTGTTCCACAGGGAGCCATCCACCTCCCTCCCTGCGCCTCAGTTCCCTCAGCTATAAAAGGAGGGGTTGAGCTGAACCCATTCTAAACTCCTCAGCTCCATGTTTGAGAGCGTCTGTCCCTGCAGGCCTTCTTCTGCAGGCAAAAGAGGCCTCTTCTGGGAAGTCCCCACAGGCTTTGAGCTGGCCCAAGGAGCTCAGAGTCTGTCTGCTGTCGCTTCACTTTACCAGTGGTTTTTCTTCTTCCCTCCTCCCCCAGCAGCTGCCTCAGCTTCGGAAAAGTTCTGAAGTCATGGAAAGTTGGGGCTGTGCTCCCAGCCAGGGGCTGGGCCTGATGGCAGCCAAAACCTGAGCTGGGTTTTGACTTTATTTTTAGCTTTTCTGACTGAGCCGGAGGAGGGGAGACATCCTCCAGTCTGGAAGGGCCTCTTTTCACAGGAGATAGCCTCTGTTGCATTAAACAACTTGCTCTGAGGTGTGGCCTGGAGGGAGTCACCATGCGGGCTGGGCACGCTCCCTCCTGGAGGACTTCATGTCCTTCCCCTGCCCCTCCCCTCCGGCGGCCCTCGCCTTCCCAGTGGAGCCCAGTGGGAGGGGAGGCGGCTTCTGTTTGAATCTGCTAAGCAGGTGGTAGGAGAGCAGCAGCTTCCTCCAGCCTGGCCTTCTCCATCCTGCTTCACAGTGAATTGCTGGGTCTCTTGGAGCGCAGGGATTTTATGGCAGGAGAAAAATGTTGGCAGGGGCATTTTTTTCCTTTCCAAGAGAGATTTTTCCCCCTGCCCACGTTCGGTTTTCCTTTTTTCCATCTGCTGTGTGCGCTCGTGCTTCAGGACTGACGAGTTACAGATGGTGGCTGGAGCCACCTTTTGAGCTTTCCCACCACACACTTTTTCTCACTTAGTATTGGTGAATGGATGAGAACATCTGTGGAAAGTTCCTGGGTAACCCAGAGGGTTTTTTTTTTTTTTTTTTTGAAAATAGGATCCTTTTATCTCTCCAGTTCACTGTCCAGCAAAAATGACCAGAAAGTAGAAGGAGTGGCAGAGGCAACTCCTGTTTGACTGGTTCTAGCTAAAGCTTTGCCTGGTCTGAGGAGTAAAGAGCTTCCAAGTTGGAACCCAGGTGGACCCGGAGGCCTGGAAGCCATGTCTGGAACCAGATACTTGAGCCTTGTGTTCCATGGCTCAGCATTCTCTCAGGCTCTAGTAAGGCCCAGAGAGAGGGAGGATGCACCCCTTTGTGTGCCGAGATCAGGGGATCAGACTGGTTCTGAGAACGGAAAGGATCAATATTTCGCATGCCGGTTTGCCCTCATCCAGGGTATCTCTGAGGTTTGACCACTGTCCTTCTCCACAGTTCTGGTGACCACATCTTTGGGGCCCAAGCTTGAGAAGCCTCAGGGACTCAGACCCCAGGGTGGGGAGCCTGGCTGTCTGGGTCCCTGGAGAGAGAGAATGGGCTGAATGGGAGGTGGGTGGAGTCAGGGAAGAGAAGGTTAAGGCCCTGTGTGGGAAGGGGCAGGAGACAAAGGTGCCCCTGTCTCTTTGGGAAGGAATGGGAGGGGAGAAAGGGAAAAGCATTCATCTCGTGGGACCAGCAACGTGTCCTTGGCCCCAGGCACGTTCCTAAACACTGAGTCATGGGAAGGGTGGAGAAGCAGGAAGGGGGTTTTGGGGATCGTGCAGGAAGTGGGAGTCCAGCCCCAGAGTCAGTTGGCAAACCAACCTAAAGCCAAGAACGCCCTCTCCCGGCAGTTTGAAGTACTGTCAAGTCGCCACCACCTCTGCCTGCAAGAGCCCCCTCTCCCTGGGGACCCAGCTCTCTCTAGAGACACTGACTCCGTTAACACTCTTCTTTCACTTCTCTAGCAACACCAAGAAGGAGGGAGACTTGCTGGCCGCCCAAGCCCGGCTCAAGGACCTGGAAGCTCTGCTCAACTCCAAGGAGGCTGCGCTGAGCACCGCTCTCAGTGAGAAGCGCACAGTGGAAAGCGAGCTGCATGACCTGCGGGGGCAAGTGGCCAAGGTGAGGCCACGTCCAGGGCTCCCCATGATGCGACCTGGCCCCAAACAAATGCACACTCCCGCTCCACCCCAGTTGCCCTCTGAAGGTACCTGGTCTGACCTGTCACCTGGCATCAGAGCCAATCACCTGTCTTGGTGTCATTTTGCCCACCTCGTCCACATCATATCCTCCTTGATTGTCCATGGCATCCAGCATGGTGGATTTTAAGTAACCCGCAGCCGTTTCCATTTAACTTTGCAATGAACTGCTTGGTCCTGCATCCACCCTGCTTTGGCCCTCTTATGGACAGCTGTGACCTCTCTGGGAGACAGGAGAGGAGTGTGGCCCTCCAGAGCCCGTAATCAGGAACTGGCAGTCAGTTACACACAGAATTCTTGTTTTTTTTTTTCTGTTTTTTATTTTTTGTTTTTAAGATTTATTTATGGATACAATAGCTGGGGTGCAGGCCAGGGTTGCGGGACATTGGGGTTTGAGAGGATTCACCAGAGACTGAGTGGGGAGCAGAACAGGTGAATCTACTGAAATACTCTGCTGAGGGGAGCAGCAGGCGACCATGTGAGCACTTCCCTGGCTGGGGATTGAACTCTGTGCTGCTGTGGTTGCTAATAGCATCATAGTGTGGAGACTTAACCTCTTGTGCCACCAGGGAGGCCTGGGATGCTTATTCTTAATGCCTGACTTGGCAGGCATGCCTCAGTCTTTACTTTCAAAACACTTTGCTATCTGTTCCAACCTCTGATCTCTCATGTGACAAGCTGGGGAACAAAATCAAGGAAGCTGACTTGTTCCCAATTTCACAGCCTCATCTGCTCAAAGCAGGGCCAGGGCTAGAGTCAGCAGCCAAGCTTCTGCCCTGGGCTCTCCCCTCCCAGGTCCTGTTGCTGTAGTTCATGGCGTGAGACGGGCATGCCAGCTACGAAGCCACAGAGAGTCTTCTTCTGGCTCTCTGCCTTCAGGCCCACCTGCCCCCCAGTCTCCCAGCTGCACCCACTAGCCTCCGTTTTCTGAGATGAAAACCTAAGAAAGATGCCTCCCTATTCAAACCCCAGAAGATTGTTTTGTGGCAGATAAGACACAGTCCAGTCACCTCTCATCACTCCCCGGCCCCCATGCTTCGGGCATTAGCAGTACTGTCCTTCTGCAGGCCCTGAAGGACACATGTGCCTTCACACCCACACCTTTGGGTCTCCCTCTCCTGCCCCTTCAGTCACTGCAGTGCCCCCGGACAGTGCCCACTAACCTGCCCTTTGGGTCTTAATCACTACGCGATCCCTTGACCATGCCGAGCACTTTGGTTCCTCCCTCACGTTCCCTCTGTATCTCGCGCTCCCCTCCTTTATAGCTGTTGCTGTGTTGGGCAGTGTGTTAGCACAGCCCCTCCCCAGAATAGCTACTGTGAGTGAGCAAACAAGTCTCGTGTGCACCCAAGACTCTCCCCCTACCCGGGAACAGTCCTGTGTGCATAAAGGGACATACAGGGAACAGCCCACTTCTCTGCTTCCTGCCAGCTCTGATGTCCTGTGACTCCTCCCTGATGTCTGCTCCCTTCTTCTCAGCTCGAGGCAGCCCTAGGGGAGGCCAAGAAGCAACTTCAGGATGAGATGCTGCGGCGGGTGGATGCTGAGAACAGGCTGCAGACCCTGAAGGAGGAGCTGGACTTCCAGAAGAACATCTACAGCGAGGTGGGGATGGCCATCTACGGGCGAGGGCACCGGAGCTGGGGCTGGGTGGTGTGGCATGCTCGCCTGCCTAACTTCCTGTACTGGTGACTGGGAAGTGGGGGTAGCTGCCCCCCGCCCCGAACCCTAAGTTGAATAGTACTTTCATAGTGACTCCACTCAGGGTTAGGATCCGGCAGAACTTCCCCTAGGTCTCAGCCTCCCAAGACCGATCTTGGTTTCTGTGACCACTCCTTCCAGGAGCTGCGTGAGACCAAGCGCCGCCATGAGACCCGGCTGGTGGAGATTGATAATGGGAAGCAGCGTGAGTTTGAGAGCCGGCTGGCCGATGCCCTGCAGGAGCTGCGGGCCCAGCACGAGGACCAGGTGGAACAGTACAAGAAGGAGCTGGAGAAGACCTATTCTGCCAAGGTGCTGCACCTTACTGTCTCTGGGGAGCAGGTGGCTGGGCTGGAGCTGAGCGGCCCAGGACCTGAGGCTGCAGCAGTAGTGCCCTGCCCAGCAACAGACTCCTCCCCCTCCACCCCCAGCCCCTCAGCCCTAACTCGGTGTCCTCTTCTGCAGCTGGATAATGCCCGGCAGTCCGCCGAGAGGAACAGCAATCTGGTGGGGGCCGCGCACGAGGAGCTGCAGCAGTCTCGCATTCGCATCGACAGCATGTCGGCTCAGCTGAGCCAGCTCCAGAAGCAGGTGAGGGCCCCTCACCTCTCCCCCATCAGCCGTAGTCTAGGCAGAACGTAGGCACATGGGGTGAGAAGGGGAGGGGAGAGAGGGACACATGCCGGGCCCCAGGCTGAGTCAGGGCCCAGGGCTCACCGGCAGATGACCGCTGTGCCGGCACCGCCTCTCGTCTTGCTGGTGTGAGCTTTGCTCCTCAGAGACTTGGTTTTCCCGTTTGACAAGGGAACTCGTGCTGAGCCTCTTTACCTCCCTGCCAGGAGACTCAGTATGAGGTGTTAAAAGTATCAATACTGTTCTAGCTGGTTGTGCCATTTCTGACAAAAAGAGAGATTTTGGCCTCAGAATGAGATTTCAGGTAAATAGTGGGAAGCTTGTGTAGACCACTGAAAGCCGGCGATGGGAGGGTAGCTAGGTGTCCTCTGCCTCTCACCTCAGTCCCTGCTGCTCCATGCTTGGGGCTCTTGGGACCTCATAAGACCCCATCACTCCCCAGCTGGCAGCCAAGGAAGCAAAGCTGCGGGACCTGGAGGACTCGCTGGCCCGTGAGCGGGATACCAGCCGCCGGCTGCTGGCAGAGAAGGAACGGGAGATGGCAGAAATGCGGGCGAGGATGCAGCAGCAGCTGGATGAGTACCAGGAACTGCTGGACATCAAACTGGCCCTGGACATGGAGATCCACGCCTACCGCAAGCTCCTGGAGGGCGAGGAGGAAAGGTGAGCGCAGGAGGCGCTGGGGAGGGGCCCGCACCGGCTGGCCTGGACCGGCCCTGACTAGACGCCCACCTGTCCCCCCTCCCCAGGCTGCGCCTGTCTCCCAGTCCAACCTCTCAGCGCAGCCGTGGCCGTGCCTCCTCCCACTCATCCCAGACGCAGGGCGGGGGCAGCGTCACCAAAAAGCGCAAGCTGGAGGCCGCGGAGAGCAGCCGCAGCAGCTTCTCCCAGCATGCGCGCACCAGTGGGCGCGTGGCCGTGGAGGAGGTGGATGAGGAGGGCAAGTTCGTGCGGCTGCGCAACAAATCCAACGAGGTAAGCCCTGTGGGGCCCACGGTGGCTGCCCGGGAGGCAGGACTCCGGGATGAAGGGGTGAGGATGGAGACGGGCTTCCTGCGTCAGGCTGCCAGCGTGTGCCTCCTCCACACCCGTCTTAAACCCTGGCTGGGGCTCATCAGTGAGACCCTGGACAAGCTGTTTAACCGCTCAGAGCAAGGGCTTCCTCCTGTGAGTAAATCTGCAGTCAGAAAGTTCCTAACTCTTTGGGGTGTCAGGCAGGTGAAAGTATCAAGGTGCTGGCGCAGCCAGGTGCCCACTGAGCGCAGCTGTTATCCCTGAGCGGGAGGGCACTGAGGAACCGAGGGGCTCCCGATGGTGGCCTGCCTGGGAAACGGAGAACCTGGACGTGCCTCCCCATCTGCCCCCTCCCTTCCCGCAGGACCAGTCCATGGGCAATTGGCAGATCAAGCGCCAGAATGGAGACGAGCCCTTGCTGACCTACCGCTTCCCACCGAAGTTCACCCTGAAGGCTGGACAAGTGGTGACGGTGAGTGGCAGGGGGCGTGTGGTACTCGGGGGGTGGGGGGGGCCGGGTTGGCCTGAGGACGACAGTGCTCGAGCTGAGTGTCCTTTAATTCTCCCCACAGATCTGGGCTGCGGGAGCTGGGGCCACCCATAGCCCCCCCACTGACTTGGTGTGGAAGGCGCAGAACACCTGGGGCTGTGGGAACAGCCTGCGCACGGCTCTCATCAACTCTACCGGGGAAGTGAGTATGTGGGCTTCTCGCTGGGTGGCCCCTGGTGGCCGGAATAGGAGCTGGCCGCCTCCGCCCGGAGAGAACCACCTCTCGGGACCACCTCCAGCTCTCCTAGCTCCCTCCACTGAGTAGGCACACAAGATGCCCCAGCAGCATGAGGGGTAGAAGGTAGTTTATTAAAGACGTCGCTTGCCCAGAGAAGTTGGTGGGGTGTCCCTCAGGTTTCCTGACTCTTAACACCACAAAGCAAGCAGCAGGCTGGACAAAAGGCCAGAAGCCCACAAAGAAAGGCTCTGGTGGGGCACAGTGGGTGGGTACAGTGCTCACCCCTGCTGGCCCAGCTCCCCTCCCCCTCAGACCTGGCCTCATGTCCCTGCAGGAGGTGGCCATGCGCAAGCTGGTGCGCTCTGTGACCGTGGTTGAAGACGACGACGATGAGGACGGAGATGACTTGCTCCACCACCACGTGAGTGGCCGCCGCCGCTGAGGCTGCGTGGCTGCTGGGGTGCAGCCACGCCTGGGGCAGCCTCCCCCAGCCTCCCCCTGCCAAAAGTCTTTCCATTAAAGAACGTTTGGAACTTCACTTGCTGCCCTGGCCTTTCTTCTCTCTCCTCCCTATACCTTGAACAGGGGACCCAGGTGTCTGGGTGCCCTACTCTGGTAAGGAAGGGAGTGGGAACTTCTGATGCCATGGGGTATTCCATGGGAGCTGTGGATGCGGGTCTGGACTGGTCTCCTGCGAAGGGGATGGGAGGACAGAAGTGGGGCGCCCAGCCCTGCCTCTCTCCCCCCATTTCTGTTGCATGCCTTTCTTTTCCCATCCCTTCCCCGTTCCTGTTGCATGCCTGTCCTCTCGTTATTCCCACTTTTCCTGCAAAACCTCTCCTGTCGTTGCCCAGTTGGTCCTGCACGTGTGCTGCCCAGCAGGCTTGCTGCTCACTCTCCCTCCGCTCAGCTCTGACCAAGTAGGGCCGAGTCAGCGTCAACCCAGCTCCACTTCCCTGTCCCGAGTCTTCCTGATCCTTGTCCCCTTGCATGTCTTCCCTGCCCCTCCTCCCAGCCCCTGAGCCCCAGGGGCCTCTATTTCTTCAACATAGCCCCCTGCCAACCTCCTCACCACCCCTGCACCCAGCTGGTACCTGGGAGCCCACAGCAGCCAGGGCCCTGGGTTGGGGCCTGAGCAGTGAGTCCCAGACCGCCGTCCCGCCTGAGCCTTGTCTCCCTCCTCAGGGCTCTCACTGCAGCAGCTCAGGGGACCCTGCCGAGTACAACCTGCGCTCGCGCACCGTGCTGTGCGGGACGTGCGGGCAGCCTGCCGACAAGGCTTCCGCCAGCTCCGCAGCCCAGGTGGGCGGATCCATCTCTTCTGGCTCTTCTGCCTCCAGCGTCACCGTCACTCGCTACCGCAGTGTGGGGGGCAGTGGGGGTGGCAGCTTTGGGGACAGTCTGGTCACCCGCTCCTACCTCCTGGGCGACTCCAGTCCCCGAACCCAGGTGAGTTGTTGCTTTACCTCCATACCCCTTAGTCAGAGGGCGCTGGGCGTTGGGGTTAAGACAAGTGGCCCTGGGGGGGAGGAGAGCCTCCTCTTCCGCAGCCCGGGGGAGTGGGAGCCTCCACCCTCAGCCCAGCCCCTGGGCAGTTCATCCTGCATCCTGCCCCTCCGGTCTGAGCCCCAGACTAGAGGGCAGGGCAGGGCAGGGTAAGGGAAGGTGGCATGGGGCCAGGTACTGCCACACATCTCTCCCCTTTCTCTCCTAGAGCCCCCAGAACTGCAGCATCATGTAATCTGGGACCTGCCAGGTGGGGTGGAAGCAGAGGCCTCTTCGTTTCTCCTCACCTTGTGCCCATCCCCTACCCCATGCCTCACGGGAGGGGGCTTCAAGCCAAAGAAAAATGCCCCTTTGGTTTTTTCTTCTATTTTTTTTTTCTAAGAGAAGTTATTTTCTACAATGGTTTTATACTGAAGGGAAAACATGAGCAAAAAAAAAAAAAGCCTCTATCTCCATCACTCCTTCCTTTTCCCTGCTTCCAGGAAACTCCAAACTGCCTTAAAACCAAAGAGGGCTTCCTCTAGAGGCCAAGGGAAAGGGAGGCTTTTACAAAGCCTAGTTTCTGCTTATTTGCCCTGCCTGCTGCCCCCACCCCGGGGACCCCGTGACAAGGTGCCTAAAGGGCAGGTGGGGAGCCCCTGCCTGTCTCGGTCCACTACAGCCGGCTGAGGCTCCTCGGCCTGCCCTTCCCAGCCTCCAGCCCCGCCCCAGCCCCGGGGTGACTAGAAGGTCCCAGGTGCCAGCTGTGCTTGCTTTTGCTGTATTTTATTTAGACAAGAGATGGGAATTAAGGGGGAGGGAGAGGAAAGGGGAAAAGGCATTTGAGCCTTGCTTTGCCCAGCGTTAGAGCTGGGCATGGCTCTGCCTAGTCACTGGAAGTTGAGGTCAAGTAGGTACAGGGGAAGCAGAGGGAGGCCTAGGAGAAAGGGTGAGCACCCACAGGGACCCCACCCAGAGGAGGACGGGGAGGGGGGTAAGAAGCTGTGTGGAGTGGTTTTTTACAAACACTACGGACCCCCTGCCTCCCCAGTTCCCATCTGCACCTCTGCTCTCCTCCCTAAATCAATACACTAGTTATTTCTATTCCCGGCTGCTGTGGTATCTTTGTCTGCACGTCACCTTGTGTTCTGAGGAACACACACACACGCTTCACAGCCTTACCCCTACCCCTAGAGGACAACAGGAAGCCCTCAGCACCTGAGGTGCACATCTGGGCACTCAGTGGGGCCCTTGTCTTCCTGAAAGTCCCCCAGAGAGGCAGAGCTCTGGAAGAAGGGTATTCTTCCCTACCTCCTTCACCCTACAGCACTTGTCAAGTGCCTTCGCCATACTGGGCCTTTGACTTTCAGCACCAAGACAGGACGCAGACCCAGTCTGAGGGTTGCGACATCTGGGAGCCTGGGACAGACATGGGAGGAGGGTGTGGAAGCCATTGAGGGCAGCAGGAAGCGAGTAGGGCGGCCTTTGTGCCACACTCTGCTCAGTGTGTGGACAGGGCCTGAACAGGAACACACTTTGAGTGTCCTCGGCGAACTTCCACTCCAGTAGGAGTCAGGAAGCACATGTAACGTGGTGTGTTGGAAGAGTGGGAGCCTCGGGAGAAAGCATAAACGTGGGCCAGCCAGCAAAGACCCAGGGGAAGGGCCCCACACATGAAGAGGGCCTGTGTACATTCCACAGCATCCCTGCACTGTTCCACCCTCCTACGGTCTTGAGAAGTGGTTTTGTTCCTGGAAATGGGGGCTTGAAGTCAGCTTGTCCAAGCCTGCATGTCTAGTTGGCAGCAGAGACCCAAGGATTCTGGCAGCAGACCCCTGCTCCTCTGACATCATGTTCTCCCTCTAAACAAAATGATAATTGAAGGTAAATGTACATTTCCTGGGGATGGAGGAATTAAACCTGAAGTTCAAAGTTAAAAAATAAATAAAAAAGAGGGGGCCATCCGTGGTGGTGCGGCACTAAGAAGCTAAAGCCACTTCTGCATGAGTTCAATCCCCGCCTGCCCCGGAGGTGACCACATGGCACAGCAGACCTCTCCTGACCCTCAGCAGTGTGCTTCGTTGATCTGCCTGTTCTGCTCCCCGCTCTGTCTCTGGTGAGTCCTCTCACTGCCCCTGCACCTCTGGCCTGTACCCCAGTTCTGAATGCATAAATAAATAAATCATTTTTAAAAAATTTTTAAATAAGTAAAAAATAAAAAAGATCTGGGATGGGCCCTCCCTGGTGGCACAGCTGGTTAAGGCACAGCACGGCGAGGCTGTCCTTGGCCACTTCAGCTCGAGTTCGATCCCTGACCAAAGAGCTGACCCACATGGCACAGGCAATCCTCTCCTGTCTTGCCCACCGCTCCCCTCAGCAGTGTATTTCAGTCAGTCTGCCCATTCTGCTCCCCACTCTGTCTCTGGGGAATCCTCTCACACCTCCACACTTCCAGGCCTGTACCCCAGTTCTTGTATTGATAAATGGCTAGATGGCTAGGTTTTTTAAAATTACCTGGGATTATGGGGAAACGATTAGGAAAAAGCACAATTAATGAGGGGGGCAAGTCTCCGACGTCATGCTGGAAATTTCCTCTACCCCATGGGTGGGGATCAGGTGCCTTTGAGAAGTCCAAGCCCAAAGAAAGGAAGAGGGTCTGCCTGAGGAGGGCACCTTGCTCGCGGCTCCTCTAAGTGAAGGCACGCGCGTGCACTTCCCCGGCCGGGCACGTGAGGGCGCCAGTGCTCCACGCGTGGTGTCTACGCTCCCCAGGGGGCGTCCTACACCGAGCGGCTGGACCGCACGGCTGAACTGCAGCGTGCGCTCAACCTAGGAGGCGGGTTGGGGAACCTGAGAGCTGGCCAGGTCCCCGACCTGAGGAGCAGAGAGTGCACCAAATGATTGCAAGGTAGCCGCGCGCCAGACTCGGCGGGCGACGGGTGCTCCGCACACGTGGGTCCCTCACGTGCCACACGACTCCACGCTCGGCAGGCCTTTGACAAAAAGTTGCTGTTGGGACACTCTATTGTAAAAGAGAACATACAGGTAAATGTAAAGACGGGTGGTGGAGGGGGGCGGTGGGAGGTGAGATTTCTTCTCAAGCTCGGGAAACAACACATGGATTTCCTTCTAGCGGCTGGCCCCTGAGCATGTGTTGGTAATTCGCGTAGTTCAGATCTTACTGTGATTCAATTTTTGTCTTTTCACAGTTAGCATACATAAACATTTCTCAGAGTTATTACAAAATTTATAACGCTTAAAAGTACAAAAAATGGAAGCAATGAAGTCAGCCACTTAAAATTTAACGTCAGGCAACTGACAAATTCTGTATTTTAAACCATAGACACTTCCCTACAAATGAAGCTTTCCTCCTACTCGCCTCGTATAGTGACAATTTAATTTTCTTTTACTCCTTACACTTTACACCTCTCATGAATTGGTACTGCACTGCCAATGGGTGTTCTCTGTGCCAGCATCGCCCCTTTTCAAGAGAAAGTCTATTCACTCTTAATAGTGCATAAAACATTTTAACTTGTATTGGTAAACATAGCTAAGTGTGGATCAACATTGGAAGATGTTATTTTGTAAATTTTGATATATTTTCTCTTACTACCTATCCCTTTGACCATTTCCCACTTCAACCTACCTCTTAGCCCCAGAAACCTCACTTTGGTCATCAATATTGGGTAGCTTATAATTATTTTGCATTACTAGTTCATCTGTTTTATTTTTTTTAATTATTTATTTATGTATACAGGAACTGGTTGTAGGCAGAAATGAGGCTGGGGGCAGGGGACATGAGAGGATTTACCAGAAACAGAGAGTATATCTGCAGAACAGGCAGATATACTGAACCCCACTGCTGAGGGGAGCAGTAGGTGAGACAGGAGAGGTCTGCTGTGCCATGTGGGTCAGCTCCCTGGCTGGGATCAAACTCAGGTTTCAGGGGTGGAAGCATGATAGCACCTGAGACTTAACACCTGTGCCCCCAGGCAGGCCCTTGAATATACATCTTTGTACACCTCTCTGGGCATGTCCATGAATAAATTCTAAGATGTTACTAGTTGAGTCAAAGGTATACAGATTATCAGGGCCTTTGGTAGCGTTGCCAGAGAAACTGGATCCTTCAGCTCACTTGCAGTGGAGTTCACTTTCCCCTCCCACCACTGTTTTTGTTGATTTTAATCTTTGCCAACTTGATAGGAAAACAATTATAGTTCATTATTGTGTCAATTTCATTTTTTTGAAGTTGAGTTATTTTTCATTCATGTGTGTTGGTTATTTGCATTTCTTCTACTGTGACTAATATGTTTCTATTCCTTTTGTGCTTTTAATTGGCGAGATTATCTCTTTCATGTTGATCCTTAAGATTAAGGAAGAAAGCTTTCTTGATTTTATCTAGTTATTAAGCTGTGTGTTTTGTAAATATTTTATAAAGCATGTTTATTACACAAATATGCTCTTTATTTGTTTTAAAGACTTATTTATTTATGCATACAAGAACTGGGGTACAGGTCAGAGATGCAGGGAATGAGACAATTCACCAGAGAACAGGGAGCAGAACAAGGCAGATGGACTGAAATACCCTGCTGAAGGGAGCAGCAGGCAAGACAGGAGAGGTCTCCTGCGCCATGTGGGTATCTTCCTGGCCTGGGATCAAACTCATGCTGCAGTGGCTACAGACTGCCTTGCAGTGCTGTGCTTTAACCTACTGCACCACCAAGGAGGGCCCCAAACATACCCTATAATAGTTGAATATACACAGCACATATTTAAACAATCCTCTCTGGACATTTAGATAAATTTTCAGTTTTATGAACATGACGAATGCAGCAGTGAATGCCTTTTCTTTAAATATTTCAGGAAATTTGTTCTTAACCCTGGGCCAGTTGGCAGCGCCGTCTTGAGGTGCGGGCTGGGGATGATAATGAACCAGACAGACAGACAGACAGACACACACACACACACACACACACACACCATTCAAAGGCACAAGGAAGCTCCTTCATTGTTGCTATTCCCTCCTTATGTATCCCACTTCCCACCGCAGTACTTTTTCATCCCCCTTGTTTGTACACCCTTTGAGCATTTAGTCCTGCCAGCAAAAACATACTCCCTTTCAGGTGCAAGAGACCCTTGTTCTTTAAAAGCCCACAATGTTTCTTTGTAGTCCGTCGGTAACCTCGACTCCACAGCTCTCCACATCTCCCCCGTTTTGTATTGTTTTTGGACACTGGCCTGTCTTAGGTTGTGGGTGCCATTAAGGTGCCTTATCCGTCTTCAGTCTTCAACCACAGGGGAGCACCGCCCCCATGACCTGTCTTAGATTGGTCACCAGTGACACCCATCTTACCCGTCATTGGCTCACCGGCCCTTCTGGATCAGGTTGATCCACACCTGATCAAGGGGATGTTGAGACTGGAGAGCAAGGGCAACCTGAGTCGTCACTAGGCGCTGTTGAGCCAGGGCCTGGGAATGAAGCTGAAGGCTGCGTATTATAAAACAGCGGACTAAAAACAAAGGGCCACGCCGATGGTACCTGCCCAACCCTTGAACCATTGCACACCCCTCAAAACCATGGCGGCTGAGTTGGAGACCGAGAATGTGGGCACCTTGGTGGTGTAAGTGCTACAGTTTCTCTTGCCAGCTGCCAGGTATAATGTCTGAACTGCCGAATCCCACTTCCCCCTGACGTATCTATTTATCTGGATAACTGACAGCGAGATATTGTGGACCTTAACAGGTGTTAACACAGACGTGGTGATATAGGGGAAAGCATGAAACAGAGTCATATCATACATATATACATTTCGTCCTGCATAAGGCTAATCTGTTGATTGAGCAACAGCACACCAAAGCGTATATGTTCATTTACATGATTCTGAGTCTCTAGCGCAGCAGCAACCTGGGAGGACAGTGTGTCTGTGGTAGCCGCAGCAGCAGTGTGAGCGCCAGAGTGGCCGCAGTAGCAGCGGCGGCGATAGTGACCGCAGTTACGATGCCGGCAGTGATTCCAAAATCCTCTTTTGACGTATGAGGGTGGCAGGAAACTCCGAAGGGGCGCTCAGCGGCATAGGGACAATTCCTGGCAACCGCATGACGAG